GCATAATGAGAAATTTTACCCGCAATTTGTCGTTGATTAAACCAATTTCCTTTTTGTAAGAGCCCCTTACATGTTTTATCCATTTGCCGCGCTTACTGATATGGATCTGTAAGGGTGAGATAGGATCAGACGAATACATTTGTTTGACCAACGATTTGTCTTGATCAACAGCGTGGCCGTTAGATCGACCTAAATGCTACCTGAAAGGATCTTGGTGGAGGGAACATAATGGAGCTTTGGCATCGATAACATATGAACTATGTACAAGTCAACCATATCACAAATTTGTGGTATCCTAGACCAGGTTTGTGACTTCATAAACCACTCGTGTTAGAATTTCATAGAGAAATATTTTTTTTAAATTTGTATTTTTATCTTGGTGACTTAAAAGTCACCAAGATGCAACATTGTCGTTGTTCTTTACTGTTTTCATACCCTAAACTATGCAAAAGCAGCTGTGCAAACCTATGTTATACATAGCTTCAAACTTTACCCGCTATATTGATATTGCTTTTATAATAGATACCACAGTACCAAATCTTTAATGACGGACATGTATTTCCCTTTTTTTTCAAACTGCCATTTATTTACTATGTGCTTTCAGGCTGCCTTAGAACTCTAATCTTCCTTGGCATAATGGATACTCTGAATCCTTGTTTAATGAACCTTGTACGGTTAACCAAACGACTGTATGAGGCAATGAACTGTGCCTAGTTCTAAAAGCAATCGTCAGTTAGGTAATATGGGTTGTTTCACTCCAAGGACAGCTGACAGATGTGATATATTTTGTTTAATATCCTTGAAAAAAGTTCGAGAGATGATCCCATCGCTAATAAGTTAAAAGGACAGTTAAATTGTTATGTGCGCTGAGTACCATAGTTTGAGTGGAAAAGGTAGTTAACCGTACGGCTATCTGTCATTACGTCTACAGCAATATGCCTCAGAGAATTGGCGAGCTCCACTTTGTCCATAGAATAAGGTCTCCACAATCCGAACGCATGTAGTAAACATGTTACGCAATGTGCCCTTGGGTTCTAACACGTTACATCATGGGCAGTACGTGGTGTAAAACGATGTATGGTCAAGAAGTAGAGAGGTGACACAGATATAACAATGTTACGTCCTTACGAAGCAAGAATCACGGACATTTGTAATTTAGGAGGGATCGATTTTACGGTGTTCAGACTGATGGCGTCTTGCATTTTGCATGCTGAAACCATCCAGTGAAGCAAACGAGATTTAGAGAGGCAGGCATTTGGAGTAACCTGATTTCAAATTAAGTGTAAGAAGCAAATATGATTTGTTTCCTGATCATGGATATCACTGGAAATATGTTGTTTCCTCTGCTTCTAAACAATGATACTTTTTGCAGTTTTAGCCATACATATCGACCATCAATGATGTGTGAATTGCCTTTTTGCAGATCAGACCGAGCTTCCATATGGGTAGCATAATTATGTTAAACTAAGGAAAACATATTGTTTGTCCTCAGTTTCTTCCTCTTCTTCCTCTTCTTCTCCAAACAAATAAGGGCATTGACCTGAACCAGGCGTCTCTTACCATGGTAACTGGTGTTGGGTTACATAATGTTGCAAGTGCCATGCAGAACTGAGTTCAAGAGGGGCTGCATGGTCACCATATACATGTATATGAATTAGAATAATAGAATAATTAGAATATGAGTTAGAATAAGCAATGCTTGTTAAGCTGGGCCATGTGAAAGTAAACATAATGCCTTTGCTTTGCATATGTTACCTTTCTAGTAATGGAAATTATATTGTAAAAGCAAAGAACATAAATGGAGCTGTAAATTCAGACAATAAGTGTGTGCAAAACATTCTGTAACACGTTGGGACTTTTCATGTTACTTACCCTGTTGTATCAAAAACCGTACTTAAACATAGCCTCCTTCGCAGTCTTGTTGGGCGTGGGCCTAATTTTTTCTCTGAGCGACGCGAGTAATATGCCGCCGCGAGGGACGATTTGCTGCCGAGGGACTTTTGCCACGGAGAGAAGGTTTCCGCGCTCCAACGCTTGTTGGATAGTTTACGCGTATCTAGAATCGTTCCTGGGGCAAATCTACGTTCTTGTATGGATAGGCGGAGACTATCCAGAACCAACCCTAACCC